TTGGAAAAAAGTCATTTAAGAAAAATAACTTTCTTAATTTTAGCTTTTAGTTAATTACTGTTATAAAAAATTTCTGCAAACTGTATATGTATTCAGCTGTAAAATTTAGCTATAAAATGTTTTTGGAAACTAGATTTCTTCCAATTCTCTGATTACTCCGTCACTTGGGAGCTCTTGTATAGCGATCGGCGAATCGAGAAAATCAATTCTGGATCAATCGCGAGCGATCTGCAAGGCCCGCCAATGGATACAGAAGCTCTCGGTTGCTCTGGCAAGAGAGCGATGGAAGGGGTGAAAGGGTAAGCCGCTTTGCGAACGAGCGGAATTGCCGAACCGCGTTTGGGACGAAGGGAGTAGGCGATTAGGTAAACCCAGGATTAGTTAGACGTCGCTGCTCCCTTCGTTCGGGATTCGAAGAGCCTGCCGGAGAGCCCTTCCACCTTCGACTCAGACTCAGTAGCCTCCATCTACGCTCTCTATCGCTACTACTATTGGCCTAGCCGAGTTCGATTGCCGCTGCTAATAATGCCATCCTTGATTTACATGATTGGATTGGCGTCTCGAAATTGAAACTGCCGCCTGCCGTTGGGTGAATCTGATGGAGAAGGGGCTTACGTTCTGTATCAGACTGCGGACATTGAAATTTGCAATAAGATACTTCTCAATTGCACAATAATGAAGCGTTCAAAGAAATCATGATTAAATGATTTTACGAAGTGTTATTTATAGCGATCTTTCCTATATTGTTGATCAACGTGATTAATCAGGAATGATAAATTTTGTTTTTCTCATATTTCTGCATATAGTTTTTAAATCTTTTTGTTTCATAGCATTGTTTGTGATCTCTAGACGATCCTCCAATACTATAGAAATCCTCGTAAATTCTCGTAATCATATTGAATCATTCCTCCGCGTCCCGGATGTGTGGGTAAACACCAATATATTTCATAGATGGATACAACAAAAGAACATCGTTTCCTCTTCGAAGAGACCTCTCAGAGAGATTAGTATGCTCGTATCTGCATGCCGCAAGATCGTATCTGCCACGAGCGCGGTCCTTTGTGGGTTTTTGTTTGCGTTGCGTACGTATTTATGTGAGCGCTCTTCCTCTTCTTTTCGGCTTCTCCTCCTCCTCCTCCTCCTCCTCTTCCAGCTATTTCTTTTTTTTCTTCTTCTTCTTTCTTTTCCTCTTCCTTCTGTCTCTTCTTCTTTCCCTTCCATAATCGCGGGGGACGCTTCTACTTAGGAACGCTCCAAATGATCCGTTTCGACTCAATCAATCTTTAGAAAGTTACTGTCACGACGCGAGTCTCTGGAGAATTTCTTCTGTACGCCATTCAATGTCTAAGTTTATTTCTGTTTCTGGGAAATAAAACTTCGCTAGTCATGTTTTAAAGAGGATTCATGCACGTATGTACTTTTATTATTTAAATTTTATATATATTAATTACAATCTCCCACTTTGGTAGAAAAATATTTAAAAAGATCGCAATTATTCATAGTTAAAATATTTTTTAAAATATAAATAAAAAGTATAATTTAAGACTGTCTTTAATCTATCATTTTAAAGTTCATACATCCTTACGACTTTCGGCAGCATATAATTGGATATTTGATTGGGACTAATTTGATTGGGATTTTTGCGTGCACTATATCAATATCAATGTCGAGATGTATATCCATTGTCTTGGCGTGGATCTGTAATCTCTCACTATGTACCAATTACCTTGTCCATTCTACCTGCGTTGCATGCAAATTGGATTTCGGTCACGGAAGACGTAGAGGAAGACATCAGCCGTTTCCTCATGACGAGCTGAGATTTCGTCGTTACCGAAAATAAATTAGTAAACCAATGCCTTCGAAAAGAAAGAACTTTTCGGCTGGTTAATCAGCTAAATAACGCGGCAAAAATGCGTAAAATTAATGGAAAGTGGCTTGTAGAACACACCCAGGATCTGTTCGTAGAAAGACAACAGTGGCGCCATACCACTACTACAATAGGCTATTACTAGAAAGCTGACAATAGAGTAGTCCTTAACAATCATTTTAAACGCCACTCGATTCTTCAACCGTAAATAGATACCGATTTTACCTGACAAAAAATAAAACTGTTACAGATGAGGCAGTTCGAGAAGTACAACGAGACGAGAAGAGACAGGACGATAGTTGGTCGTGTGGCGATACTAATCCGATTGTGCGACTCGCTCGTGCCAGTCCTTTGAAACGTAACGACCGGCAAACTTTCCCTCTGTTACGCTTTTGTGGAAGTTACAGGATCAGTTACTTCGACGACCGTTCAGACTGTTCGTGGCGCCGAGTTTCCTTGCTGAACAATTCACGAAATTTAACCGCAGAGATTTAGTAGGTCTCAACGTTGAATCCTTTCTCAAAACGTTTTTCGTTATTTTATTTTTAATAATTGCCCGAGGAATAAAAAGATTGATACGAAATGTGTATAAAGTGCCGTAATTCTTCTTGCAGATGATGCGTTATTAATTACGAGCGAATCAGTATGCGTTCGCATAAAGTGTGGGAAGCGCGGAGACGTTCGCTAGCTGGTTATCTGGCTGGGAAAGGAAAGGGAGCATTAAAGGAAGAGATGAACTTTTTTTGCAGCAATTTCAGCGAGCGTCAATTAAATTACTGCGATGCGTCCGGGCCCTCGGGTTCGATCAAGCTATATAGGAAGCGCATTACGCTTGAATGAGAAGCTTTCCCACGCAAAATGTCTTTAAACATGAATATCTTAAGATCGTATATTAACACATAATCTGTGTCTTCTTGAAAATAAAATATCATTTTCGAGGTTGTGCGGAAACATTCCGACGGGAGGTTCACGAATTCATTCTAAGATATCAAGATCAATCCTAATACGAACGTCAGTATTAAAATGAGAAGATAGATCGAATAAATCTTGTGCTTATAAAAAACAACACTCATAGAATTCGAGATATATATTGATCAGTTTCGATGAGATCGTTGTTTGTAAGTTTTTTATGATTTACGAAATATATACGAAAGAGTATTCTGAGTAAACCAAAAGAATCCAACAAGAATGGTATTTTGATGAGACCAAACATTATGATAATCAGGCATTCTATTTGGGTTCATCAAAATATCATTTTTTTACTTCTTTATTAGTTTAATCAAAACATTTTTTTTAGTGCGCAATTATTAAATAATTACAAGTTAAAAGATTGCTCACACTGAAAAAAAATTGTTCAGAAAGTTGACAGAATTAATTTAATTCGTCTTTATTTCTTTTGACAAAGAATGTATTAAGTCAAACTTATTATATTTGACTTAAATACATACATCTTCCAACAAAAGTAATAAAGACAACTAAATTAATTTATACAATATATAGTTAAATGAATAATTTTCTTTTAGTGTATTATAGTGATAGTCGAGAGAAATTCCAGCAAAATTACGCATTTTCGTAACACTCCGATATTGTTCCTCATTAGTTAACGGAAGACGAAAGTTAGGACCCATTAGCATTCACGTATTGCACGCTTGTCGCTTTTTGGAAATACAACTTGGGAGGGCAAAGTCGCTAACGCGATCGACGCGTGAATGCAAAGGAACCGATTTGTAATAAGGGACGCGGGGAAGCACGAAGGGAATCGAAAACCGAATCCCCTGGAAAGCAAAGTTCCCGCCGGAACTCCAGAATTCGTCGCATTAATATGGCGCGCGTGAGTCACGCGAGTGCGTTGTTAGTCGATGGGCGTTCGGTTTTCTGTCGACGATCGAGATGACGATGATGATAACGACGACGCATCGATGGCGACGTATGGTTGACAATGATGACGCATAATAGAAGGGATCGACCACGCAGTTTTCCTTTGTCGTTGTTACCAGGCGAGAGGCGCGATGAGAATCCCATTATTTATTACGCAGCGCGGACGTACGAGTTGACACAGAAATAGGCATCAGAAGTCGCATACGCGTTCGCGTCGTTTAACGCAATTACCTCTGCTGCCGTGCAGGCGTGCGTGAAATTCCAATATCGTCCGTTGTTGCAGCCATCCCCATTATCATGCTTTCATGTAGGTACGCAAAAGGGCATGAGAGGTTTAATAAAATTTTATATGTAATTTAATTATTCCTTTTTCTTTCATAATGATCAAAATTTTAAGAATTCGTAGGTTTATATATATGTATATAATAATAGCTAATTTTTTTGATAGTATTATAAAATTAGTTCAATTAAAAATAAAATAATTTCATAAAACAGACATTAAAAATGAGCTGTCATATTTAGAAGTCGTAGAAGCATTTCCTCTTAAATATATATATATATAATCGAGATTTATTAATTTATAAAATATATTATTATAAATATTTTATCCAAGTATTTTCAGTATGAAAAGCATTAAAAGGTTATTGAATATCTCTTGCTCTCTCTAGTATCTTTTTAACGTTGGCCGACTCAATTAAAATAGTATTCTCAGACGAGTGCGCACGTTTACCAGAACTTTCCATTTAGTTTGGAGCATAATGTCCTTGGATATTTTGTCCGGCAGCAATTTGGAAACACCCTATACGGCATTAAGTGATGAACCAAGCGAGTCGATATAGCCGCGTACAAGAGTAATATCCCGAATGTGAGAGGACGCAACACGATACGAGGGTGCCGCTCCGGGGAAGAGGAGACAGCGTTCAACAACTCTCCGTGCGCAGGCACAAGGGTCAGCTACAGATTTTTGCGGGCAGGTCGGACCGGCATTGGGCAGCTGGCGTGCGGTCAGCCGCTCTGCCCGCAGCGTTGCGTCGGTCGTGCATCACCGGCCACCGTATTAACCCCAAGCCCCAACGTACTCGGCCAGTACCGCAGGCCGCAGAGTCCACGGTCCATGGGTGCCCGTGGACCCCGTGCGAGTCCTCCGCGTTCTATCATATACCTCATTACCTTCCCCTCCTATCGTTCTTCCATTGTGGTTCAAACTACGATCATATCGCCCGTAGACCGCGATATCTCGCGTTCTAGACAAGAGGTATAATTGCGTGTCTCTAAATGTGTCTCGTTTCGATTGGAAAAATGGTTGCGCTCAGCAGAAAAGACAGTTTTGAAGTTGTAAGATTTTTTAATGTAAGTATTGTAGTTTACACATTTAGATTATAGAGAGGTACTAAGACCAAGAATCAATCATATTAAAGAGTCTTATGACAATCGTAAAGCTACTTTTTCTGCTGAATGCACAGCTAATGGCAGCAGGAAAAGCAACTTCACAATTGTAAAATTCTTTAATATAATTGGTTTCGCTCTTAGAGTTCTGCACTGGTCTAAATGCGTAACCCTAATCATAACCCTAATTAAAAATCTTGTAACAGCAAAGTTTTTTTCTATTAAATGCAGCTAATGAAAAAAAAAACGATAGCGCAACGCGCTTTTTTCTAAAAATAAGTATACATAAAATTTATTTTTTTGAGAGCTTATTCTTTTCAAGTTTAGTTGAAGTAATCAATATAGCTAGAGAACGATATTGAAACGTTTCTACGAAACAACTCTATATAATTGTTTCGAGTGGAAGTTTGCGCAAAAAGATTCCACATACAGTTGATCATGCACCGATGGCTGGTAGAAAGGTGAAAAGATAAGCGGCATTGAAGGGCCTCGGAGAAGAGAGCTCTAGCGCGGGCTCATATTCCATATAATGAGAGCAGCATCAACATCAGACAAGCCGACATTGCCGAGTAATCGAAAGCCGCCGTGTCGACCAGGCTGGCGAGGCTAATAAAGCAACGCTTTAGATCGATAAAGTAATTTCGATTGACGATAACCGATAATTGAGAGAACGAGTGCTCGTCCAGATTTCTCAGCATGGTCAAGATGATTTGTGCGAAAGCTGGTAAAAGGGTGAACGCTTTCTCGGATGCCGGCAGCCAATCTCGCTATTTTTTACGTAAATCCGCAGAGTTCGAATCTGCTATTGCATCGTACAATAGCGGGAAATTTTAAATTAGGGTCTCTGATTTCCAATGATAAATTACTATCTGTACTCAAATGTTGAAACTGCCGTTAATCTTTTCTAATTCGGTTGTCTTCTGAATTGACTACCATACACGTGATTTCCTCGTACATGATAAATGATCGCAACAATATTAATAAAACATTCTACTTACATACTGCGGTGATCCACGATGAGTATGCATATATCCGTCCATCCAAGATGTGTGGCAGGCAGGCACGAGGCGTGAAACAGAAAAGACGATAGTTACATGTATCTACGCGTCAGCCTCGTTAGTATTAATTAAGACCTTATTTATATAACACAAGCGCGCAAGCACGATTTGCATATACGTCGCGTGGCCTCCGAGCAAACAAAGTTCAACGTCGCGCCGCAGATCCATCATCGTTGTCATTACCGCGTTGCGCCGGACTGGCGATTGTGGAGACGAATTATCGCCGGTATATACGTCGACGATTGTTGACAGGCAGCAATCACGCCGTTGGTTCGCAGCCGACGATCATGTACTGGCGATGGCCAGCGATACGGTATAATGTCGCGGCGCAATAAAGGCTTATTCGAACAATACGATTTCTAGCGCGCAGTGTCAACAACGTTCCAAAAATTATCCCCTGTAAAGTTGATACCACTTGCCACACGACATTTCGAGACTGTCGCCGTTAATCCCGACTGTTACATTTTATGCACCTGCCGCTTGAATACCGTATCGTTTGAATAGGGCTTAAGAGCTCAGCTGCGCGTGCAGACCGTCGAAACAAGAATCGCGATATCTGCGAGGAAAATTCGAGATTTCCAAGGCAAAGTAGCGGTCGGAAGCATGCAACGACGCGCGCTAGGCTACGTCGGCGATCCGTCATGATCAAGCGGGAGCTGTGATTTAATTGTCACCGGTAGCTCCGTGACGAGATGGTGGAAAGTGTGCAGGGTCGGTTAAGTCGCGCGGCAAGAAACACCGTATCCTTCCAGCAAGAAAGAACGCTCTATGCAAAAAACCTGCGTATAAGAAGCGTCGATGACTTATTTATGGAAGATTTCTGATTTTCATAAAATAGTATTTTATTTTTTAATTTACACAAATTTTCGCAGAATATATATAGCATTAGAATTTTTTGCATCTCTCAAAACTACATCCTCAAACTTAGGATAAATGCTACAAAGAACTCCAGAAGCTTTCTGTTATGAATATATTTTAATTTCATATTTTGATTATTCGTTTAAATCAGTTTCTTCCTCTTTTATATATTGAGAGAAATATTTGATGTTAATAAAATGTTAAATGTTTGAACAACTATAATGTTGATATGTAAAATACCAAAATTTTGTTATGTTTTAATTAAAAAATTGTATTGTAATAAAAATTTGGTTCGAATAATAATATTTTAATTAAAACAACACAATTTATAAATTAAAACAACAAAATTTTGACAGTTCACATATCAATAAAATTATAATTATTTTAAAAATATTTCTTTCGGTGTGTAATTGTAATAAAATATTTTGAGGTATAGAAAAAAAAACCGGAGAATACTTTTTTTTTTTTTAGAAACAAGCAGCGGCCCTGGCGCAGGAAGGCAATAATTGTGGAGGAAGGGCGGATTGCGGGGTTAAGATCGACTCGATTCCCGTTGGTGGAAACGCAACGGCGTTTCGCGAATCTCGTCCAACGAGTGGGCACGATATCCAACGAGTCGGGCAATTATAAAACTGCTGTAGAGAGTCACCGCCACCGCAAAACACATGTCACCCTCGTACCACCCCCGGAGCTCCCTCCTGTCCACCGATGCCGACATGGGAGTGAACGCGCGACACGCACGCACGCACGCGAGCACGCACGCACGCGGCGAACACGCACGCGGCTCGTTCACGAGTGTGTGAGTTTCAGGGATCTGCGTGCGTCGCGGTTCTGTATAATTTGACATGTTGTCGTACACGTTATTATTCAGATAGATCTTAAGATACGCGCGAGTCGAACAGACTTCTCTTCCTCGTTCTCCTTTTCCTTCAGTCAGTCAGTCAGTCAGTGAGTCTCCTTCGTCCCTTCGAGCCTCCATTCCGAATGTCACTATTTTCTTGATCATTTTGATCAGCCAACTCATGATTCACTCATGAGCGAATTAAATATTATGTGATATCCCGTTACATTGCCTCGACGTCAACTTTGATAAATATCGAGTTTGTGTTTCTTTATTCTAATAAATTAATTAACGAGGAAATAATATTATATAAAAAAAAGATGTGTTCTCAAAGAATAATTGCATAGAAAAAATGCTAAGATATCTAAAAATTTAGATATTCATTTATGTAGATATATGTAGATCTGAAAATAACTTTGCAACCATTAAAATAAGTAGAAAGCTCAAGCATAATGAGCAATGCTACAAAAAGTTTTGATATTCTAGCAACCAGTTTGAGCGCTCTACATAATTATTGTGATATATATGGCCTAACAAAATTATTTTTCAAAACTTACAAAAAGAAGAGCACAAAACCACAAGATATTGTTTGTGATATTTAATATGTCATTACATTAATAAAAAATTTGTTTAGACGTTTCGGCCACAATCTGGTCATCTTCAATAAAATAACAAATACCAATAAAACGCAAAATTTACATAAATCTGAAAAATTATTTTTAGATCCGTAGCTACATTTTTAGATACTTCAACTCAACCGTTATTTCTGCATATGTATTGAGTGCAGTATCCATTTCGAGCGGCATTATCAGCGCCATGTTCCTGCGTTAAAAAAATTTAATCGCGGAGGTAATTGATCCTTTCTTGCTTTCGGATCCGATGTTTATACGCCGGTGATGAACTGTCGTGTGATTCGCGAACGTTAATGGAACCTATTAACGGCGAGCACGATATAGCGAATCGTTTTTGAACGCGTATAAAAAGCAACGCAAGTCATCCCTTCTTATTAACCGGCGATAATAAGGAGAGGCGTGCGCGTCATTAGAACTGTGCTAAATATTCAAACGCGCATATATAAAGCCAAGCCCAAGCACCTGCAGCCCCGCCTAATTATTCAAACTTTTTAAGTCTTGGCGATTTATATCGAGCAATTAGCTCATCCTGTAACACTAATTGGAATGAAACCACGTACGCCCGCCGTGAACTGTATAACTGATAAACGTGGACCGTCTCGTTAGTTATCCGTGCACCGTTATCCGCTTTCGATGAACACATTTCACATGGAATTCCGGAAATATTTCGATCCCATTTCATTTTTCTCTTCATCATGTTCTTGCGATATCGCGAGTGGTATAATAAAAAAACAGACAGAATGTTGTTAATGATATAATATCTTTGCGGAAAAAAGTTCTCCGATTGCTGGAATACTCAATTTGATTGTAAATTATAATACTTTACACATTGGTAATTCCTCCTTATTAAGAATGTAAGAATGGTATAAAATATGCAATTATTATATCAACCTGAAGCATTAAAAACATATATGATAAATAGAAAGAAATAAATATAAAGATATTATATTAAAGTATATGTTTTAAAGATATGTATGTTTAGTTAAACGCGTTAAGAAGCGCAAAGTATGAGCAGGAAATCTGCGCAGTAATTATGCACTTCGTTAAAAAATAACTACATCGAGCTACTTTATCTCTTATATTTTTATTCATTAAGAACGTAAAGATACGTTTATCTTGCACAATATTTTCGTCATAATTACGGCATTACTATCTGGCAGCTCTAACGATATACGTGCCAGCCACCTCGGGAAATTTCATGTTCGTCGTGTGAAAACACAAATTAAAATAAGTATGTTAGAAATGCTGGTTGTATTAATCAATGTCTATCTAGTAAAAGGTAGGCGTGAAGGTGCTTCGTCATTAGGAGCCAACCTTTCAAACGTCTTCGGAGTTGAAGAGTGGCGATTCATCCGTCTTTTTCAAATATTTTTACGATTAATATGCATATCTACGTCATTTTTCATTTCGCGCATCTTTTATCGAAAGAATTATCGTATCAGTTATAGAATTAAATAGATTTTTATCGCTTCAATCTTAACCTCC